TATTCGAAACATCGATCTTCCGAACAACTCCAGTCCCCAATTGATTCGGATAATTGACGCTCTACTGTATTTAAAGACTAATAAATGAATGACAATTAATTGCATATTCAAGAAAGAATTCACAATATAAATGTATAAATTAAAACTCACCACAGATTTTAAGAACAAGCAGTTTTCAAGTTGTACATAGCCATTACGATTCTTCATGCATGCAGTTTGACGAATACTAATAATCAAGTCGTACTTTCTTCCTTCAGCGTATTTCTAAAGAATATGAAGAAAGTTATCGTACAGGATAAACGTAATTAAATTACCCTTATTCCAGACTGTTTGGAGGAAAATGCAGCAGTCTTAACTCGAAATTATGTATGCTGCCGTTTACAGATATATGGTATAAAATTAGTTCTAAAAGTTACCACTAGGGAACTTTAGGCGATGCGAGTGGCAAAAAATGAATAGCATATGCATAATGCCTTCGTGCTATGGTTTAAAACTTTCTAGGCATGTGGAATGTCATTCATTTTGCTTTTGATCAGCAGAAATTGTCGTTGACAAATCTGAATGACTCATTCTTGTGGAGCTCTTTAATGAAAACAATGCCAACACTGCGATTAGACTTTGAGTTTTATGTCACATTCAGAAATATTGGCTGGAGTTCTTTCGCCGCTCGCAGCGACAGAAATCCCATATTAGTAAGTTTTAGAACTAAAGACTACAAAAGACATAGACGATTCCTCCTAAGGTCTCGGTTCCTGGGAAGACTTTTTCAGATGTGTAACATCAAGTGGGGATCAGATTCTAAGTTTTTACTTAGATGATCCCTTCTTAGATTTTATACACCTGAAAAGCACGGAAAACTATGTGGCCATCCCACGAATTTGCAATAGACTAATCAGTGTTTAGTAGTTTTTCCCCCTCAGCTAACACTGATACAACGAATGGTAATAAGTATATAATTAATTAAACACTGTGAATTAAATTTTTGAAGGCCTTGTATGGATTGTACTAGAAAATTGAATAAATAAAAAGTTCTTACCTGTCTTCTGATGCTTAATACTTCGTTCAATCTGAAGTAATAAGAATATTTTACATGAAAGTTAATGGCATTGACTGTCGATTTGACAACCGTTTGTGCTTCAGAATCGTTCATATCGACAATTTCCCACTTTGCTGCATAACTAAGAACAAAAATAATTGCTAAGAGATACTTCATGTTTAAATTTTAACCCGAAAATGAATGTAAGCACGTAATGTTTGTATAGGCACTTTAGTGATTTGCATTTTCATATTTAAAATATGCAGTTGCATTATTTAAAAACAGAAGAATTACTCTTTAATAAACTTCAATTTTTTGAATAGAAATGATTCGTTTTAAAATATTTTATTCTAAATGTAAATTTGCTTTACGTTAGAGGATGTATATCAGTCATCACCCGGCAACTCTACTGTGGGTCTACCCAAATGGGATCATACACATGCGCCCTCTTAGCGGCCACAGAGCAAAAGGAGTTAAATATGTGTATTTTTTCGTTTCATTTATATTTATTTTATATATACTATATAAATTGAAAATAAATATATTGCTATATATTATACAGCTATGTAAATTTCAGTTATATACAACGATTCACTGAATGAAAGTATTGTTTTATTAAGCTTTTAGAGTTGTGCTAAAATTATTTGTAATTTTCTGTTTTATGAAAATATTTAACAATGTGACTTTCAGAATTGCCTGTAGTCTTTCTTAGTTCCGAATCGTTAACGATGTGTTAATGATAACACGTGACAAAATGACAATGCGACTTTAAAGAAGATAAACGTGTTTATATCATGTTACGTGTATTATCTCATTTCTACTTAATGTATTTTTTAAAACTCGTTTTGCCCCGCAGGCGTAAAGAGAACCTCTTAGCGGGCCACCAGTGGCTAAGCAGTTTCGTTCCCTGAACACTGGAAATTCGGTCGTGGGTTCGCGTCAGGACGGGCTCGCCACGTGGAGTTTTCCGTGTTTTCCCCATATCTTTAACGCCTGAATAGGGGCCAGTTACCCTTAAAAAGACCTCCTAAAAGGCATTCCCCCCTAGGTAGATAGCTCAAGTGTTGCGTTGACGTAACTTAATAAAACAAACAAACCTCTTGTAGCAAGCCCACGATGGATTTGGCAAATCCCACAATGGAGCGACCGGATATATCCGGACGGGCAGCTCCTAAAAAATTCCTGGGGATTTTCCGACCCATCTCGATTCCATCCCTAAAGCGGTAGGCTGCCACCTTGACCACTCGGCCATCCGGCCGTTATTATCATTGTGTCAATAATGATAATAATGTGTCAATAATGTTTACTGAATATTAGAAAAATTTTTTCGGAAGATCTATTTTTAAACATTGGATTGGTAAAAGTATGTTTAGTACTCAAAGGATAAGAGTTGGATTTTTAAATAAGCCAACCAAAGTCTTACGACTTTACATTGCCAAGGATCTTGAACCATTTTCGCAAAAAAATTAATTAATGTACGTTGTTCAGTCATTTGTAGTTTTAATTGGACTGGATTGATGGGATGAGACAGCGCAACAAGTGGACGATCTGTCAAGAGATGCCTTTCAAGAAGAAACTTTCTATGGGAAACTAAACCCTATATAAGTTTTTCAAACATGAATAGGACCGGGAAAGTCCCCATGGTTATAATTGTGAGGTGTTCTTACTGATTAACATAAAAATATTCAGTAGCGTTTCATAGTTATAGTTGAACCATTCGTGGAATCAACTAACGAGACGTCTTTGGCCTACTTTACTGCTAACCGCTATATATCAAATATAATTTTTACTTTGTCGTACTATTCATTACAGGAAAAAGCCAGAATCAAGTCCTTTTTTACAGACTTGGTCTAAAATATAAGAGGTTGTCCATAAGAGGTACGTCTGCATTTTTCTTGAAAGTTTTACTCCCGGTCTTCCCATTCTCCCAGTTTGTCCAAGTTCCCGTAACCCCTCCCCTCTTCGGATGTCCAACAAAACTCAACTCCTCTCAAAATCTTTATCACTTTATGAATAATAAAATGTATAAACTGAACTAAAATTTAATGAAATAAAACGGACGTCCATTGAAGTTTTAACCCTTCCCTCTCATCCAGTGTGGACGTCATTTAAGAACACCCGCTAAGTGTGACTCCTTTTTAAAACGTCCTCCGAATGTCCCAATTTGTTTATTTCTATCGGAAAATAATGTGATTTTTATTACTAAACCCTCAATTAAGCATTGTAGGCGGTAGGTGTCTGTAGATGTATTAATATATGCATACGTCATCTGTTTTCAACGTTTAGTAACAGATGGCACTAGCGATATCTTTTGTTGGCCATGTGTGACGATGAGCGACGGTTTCGTGACATCATTGACAATGGATCAATGGTTACGTTTTGCCAGTAACTGTGATTCCGGTTTTGCTACCACAACATAGCCAATCAGAATCAAAGTTTTTAAATGATCTATATTTTGCCAATCATATAAGTAAACTGTGTAATTGTGTTTGAATTTCTATAACTATGATTGATACTTTTATGAATGAATTATATAGAAATCAATTTCTCAAAAGTGAAGGCGATTTCATAGCATGCCACGAATATAAAAAAATTCCTCTCATGTGCTACAAAGTATCCATTTTTTTCATCACCAGTGGCACTTTATATCTTCATGAGGCCCAAGCAAATTTGAATTAGAGGGCCCCATATATAGTATTGACTTCATTTTTCTTCAGAGACATTTTTTTTGGGGAAAGATTTTCATATAAAATATTAGTTTGGAGCCCCTGCAAATACACTTTTTACCCATAGGATAATACGCCACCGTTAAGCACCCACAATTATGACGAATGTATTAAGATAAAAAGCCTTAGGACGTAAATACAAAAAAATAATGTTTATAATTATCAGAATATTTAATGAAACACTTTATATTCTTTTCATGGCTTGAAAGCATGGAGATAACTCACAAGAATCACGAGAATAATCAATCTTGTTATCTCTATTTTAAATAAGTCTGACCTGATTTGTACGTTATGATGTCTGACCTGCATATTTTTAGATTTATAAAGCGACGGAATCAATAATTAAACTAAAACGCATCTTTATTTAATTCAATATAAAACGCATTTAAACCACCCAAAAATCAATAATCCCGATTCTCATATTACGAATTGAATTTAATAAAAACAATTAAATAATTTATACAAAAATTTTAATTAATTATCTTAATATTTGTTTTTAATAATTTCAGCAGTGATGCAGATTTAGACAATTTTCTTTTTAAAATAATAATAAAATAGTGACGTAACAATACGTTAATTAATGTTTAAATACAGTAAATTGTTTTTTTTTAAATTCAAAATGAGAAACGTCACAGATCATGTAATCACGTGTGTAATAAGTGTTGAATTTAAAATAATATTAAATAAAAATTACTTATTAAATTAAAAGTAAAAACGCTCTTTTTAATTTTTAATATTCTAATTAAAATTAAAAAAAAATTAAATTAAAAATGTTGACTTCCGGTAAAGAAATTATACAATCGCAAAACATTCCCTACAGCGAGCGATTACGTCATTTACGTTACAAAATCAATAAAATAACTTACAGAAATTTCTGTCAACTTAGGGAAATTATTTTCGAAATTACTCTAGAAATTTTGAAAAATAATAATGACATAAGTGTACATAAATAAAAAAATAACATATTTTGTTTACTACTTAATTACCATTTATTAAAATTATATTTAAACGCTTAAAAATTAAACTGTAATTAATTTAGAGACATATGTAGGGAAATTTTCTATTAAAATATAGAATTAATTTCATCAAAATATTTAATTTAGCATAAAATTAATGTTAATACTATTTATTAATTTAAAAATTTAAACGTATTTTTCTTGTTTTAGTAGTATTAAATGGTAAATAATTAAAATAGTAGGGAAATTTTAAGGGAAATTAGTACCAAACGATAGTGGAAAACAAACAGCCATCTTTCTAGTGCGTTTTGGTGTTTGGAAGGACATTTATCATCTTCGTATCGTTTTATTGTCCTTATTTAATGTTCTTACCTTTGTAATATAATATAATAAAAGGGAAATTACCAATTTATATATAAAATGAATCCAGAATAGTAAGTTTTTTTTTTTTTTATTCTCATTGAATGGTCATTTAATTGCATTTAAAGATATAAATGGCTTTCAAATGGTGTAAATTGTACTTTTAAAGCAAATATAAATGCAGAAGATTGTATTTATGTATTAAAAATCGTTAAACTTAATATTTATAAGCTATTAAATCTTATTTTCAGCATGAATTTCACACATTTCTATTGATTTGAGAGTTTTTAAAGGTAAATAATGAAGAAAAATAATGTTTTCTCTTCCAAACAGCTGAACAGTGCCGGCCCGAGGCAAGTTTTAGGATGGAGCGAGATCCTATTATGGCGCCCCCCCCTTGGTTGCTCCTAATTTATACCCTTTAATTTTCTTTACCACTGAGACGCCCCCTAGGACTTAGCGCCTGGAGCGGCTGCTCCGTTCGCCCTATGGTAGGGCCGGCTCTGCAGCTGAATATCTTCAATGCTTCATTCATTCCTTAAATATTAAATGAGAAAAGTCATACGAACTTAACAAACTTTGAAGGGTAAGTTCTCGAGATTAATTCGGCCAAAAAAGCCAAGAGAGGCGAGTCGGTACGTATCTTCCGCTTGCCTCGAGTGGGAGATACATACGGAGCTCATTGTAGACCCCGTTACAACTAGTAGTAATGGGGCTATACCTATGAAATTGTACCATTTCTTTCAAAATTGATACTTGTCAGTGCCCTATTTTGAAGTAGTTATGTTTGTAAACACCTTACTGATTGTTGCGTACCATGGATACTGGGATGAAGGAGATGCTTTTACAAATTACAGAAAACAATTATTTTTGTTTTAATGGTAACGTTTGTTTACAAAAGCAGGAGTACCTATGGGCTCGCCTCTCTCTCGGCTAGTGGCTGAATTAGTCGCGAGAGCTTTAGAGTTCAAAATTTTTATATCTCCATCCTCTTCTCTGCAGTATGTCAGTGATAAACTTCAAACTATAATTTCAAGCTGTGTTTAAAACTAATGAGTGTATTAAGTACAACTTGTTAATTTTAGTATTGATTACTGGATGGTTGTGGAAGTGAAGGTACTATCTTGTGGCTTGGAGGCCAAGTGGTTAAGGCAGGGGTGGCCAACAGTTTTTGCCCCCGGGTCGAATTGGAAAGAGAACTTTTTTCACAGGCCGAACCAGAGGCTGCCCTAGCGAGATTTTGAAGTGGTGCGAGATTTCATTGAAGTGCAGCTTAAATTTGAAGTAATGAGATAATTATAGACATGTACTGTATATTCTATTTGATATCTTTCATTGCTTAGATATGGTGTGTAGAATTTTTACATTCCTTTGCAATAATTAAGTAAAGACTATAATAAGAATATATGTAACATGTCTGATGACCTCTTGGAAAGATTGAAAATATTAGCTGAAGTTTAGTCTTGTTTATTTGCTGATTCTTGTAAAGGAGTTCTCTACATTCATGTTTGTATTAATCAATTTCCTGTAGTAAGTTAATAAGACCAAATCTTATTCCCATAGTATTTATCAAAACAAAGGTTTTAAAAATTGAATGAACCCAGCATGCTAATATTTCGGAATATTATCAAAAAAATTAATGGTTTAGAGATACTTGATACATTATGCCCTTGATTTAACAGATTACAATTTAACAAACTTCAAATTTAATGGACAAAAAACTTCTATCCTAAAGGAATAAGTTAGAACTTTTGTTTACTTTTTATTACAAATAGAGCATGCTAAAAGTTAACCAGTCATCATTAATAGTGAAAACACTCCATTTATTATATTGTATAATATTTGGTGTGTAACTAAAATAATAATTTGCTCCTGTTATAAATTTATTTGTATATCTGTAACACATGTTTTAGTGGGGTGTATTCAGTAACTCGTAGATTATATTTTATTCATATTTGAACATTATAACATTTTAATACATTCTGTTCATGATAAATTTATTAAGATAAGTGTTTAAAATATATTCTATTTAATGTACTTTCAGCAATAGCAGATATCTTTTACATAATTAGTCTATTAAAGTGGGAGCTTAGGCTCTGCCACATGATCTGGTTTTAAATTGTGACTATGGGTAGTCACAGCACCTCAACAATGATTTCTATGAAGTGTTTCACACAATATAGTTACTATTAAATGCCATACATGGCAAGTTTTGCATTTCCTGAGTTTCATATGGTTTTTTCTCATATATTACGAGATTACTATGTATGTCTATACTCATAAAAAATCATACTTTTAAAAAATCCAGAAAAGAACTCAATAAAATAATGATGTTTTTGATAAGCTTCACTGATCACCTTCAGTTACGCTCTTTACTTCAGTTATTTTCTTCTTTCTTCAGAGAACAAAAATATTTCTATTTTTCTTTTCTATCATAACTGATTGAAAACATCATTATTTTATTAAATTCTTTGCTGGAATTTTTAAAGGTGTGATTTATATCTATCCAGTTAGTGCAAGATGTGGATATGTCTAAACTCTTTTACATGTCAGATTTTCTTGCTGGGCCTATATCTTGTAAGATATGTTATATTTTCTTCTGGTTAAAATGGAAGATTTGGAAGTAATTGTTGAATTGCTAATAAATTTACTCAAAGAAAGACCTGTTTTGTGGGATAAAAGTTTACTAGAACATAAATCTTGAAATTTGACAGTAAATTGGTAGAACTGAATTTGTGACTTTAGAATTTTGACAAAGTAAAGTAGTGATGAGAAGTCTTCTGGATATGGGCCATAAGTGAATTTTGTATGCTTCTGATGGGTTGTATGCACTTTTCTTATAGAATTGTAAACTTTTAGCATTCTGAGTACAACATACTCTATATCCCCTGAACAGTAGATACTAAAATATGCTAATGATATGAAAATTAATAATGTATAGTTTATTCTCATTCATGAAGTTTGCATGTTCTTCGTCACAAATAGCGGCTGAATTAGGCAAACAGCAGCAGTAAATGCAAAAACAAAATTGTTGCTAAAGTTCAAAGGGCCACAGGATTTTTGTGACTGAAGGAAAGTATTGTACAAATGATTCAATAATTCATTAAACATTGACACTGACATATGAAAGTAATTAAAACATTTAGACTTATCCTGCCTGATCTTGTTAAATAAAATAGACAATGCTCCTACCAAAGTTCATTCTATATTTTCCAGATGTATCCAGTGATTTTTCATATATGTATTATAGACAAATGGCATCTGTCTGGTCTGTCATGAACCACTGCCATAACCAAATATAAAAACAAACTAATTGAAAATATAAAAAATATCATATGCATGTTGTGATTAGCTACCTTGTTTATATACTGCTATCCACGGTAATGGTTTCAAACCAAATCATGTGAAAAGGGCCTCATTGTACTTGAATTTGGTGAAAATTTTTATAATTTGATGTAAAATTCTTTGAAGTTTTGTTCAATATATTCTCTCTCTCTTTTCAAAAGATTTCTGATCAGAAATGACAAAAATAGCTACTATAGGCTCCATACCTATATATTTTGTTGAACTGATGGAGATCTCTTGTGGTAAAATAGTGAACATTGTAGTTACAAACAATAGAGTTATGACTGAACAAACATGACAAATTTGGTGAAAATAGAAGAAAATGTTTTAAATTTGCAGCATTTTTAATATCTTAAAGTTGGCAATTTTAGTCTAGAAATGATTGATTTTAAAAGTTTAGCATATGGACAAGACTGTGCAAAGATTTGGAAAAATCAGAAGATTATGAATGAAAATACCACTGACCCGAAATGTCGTCTTAATACACATATTTTGGTTAATTTTGACATGCAGCCAAAAAAGGTTGCCGACCCCTGATTTAAACTATAAATTTTAGAATGAAAGAAGTAGACATAAATGAATCTCTAACAATGTATTTTTGTATATTTTTTTTTTACTGGATCTGAACACACTTTAAATTATATAGCTATAATGGTCAAACTGCAGCTTAATGTGACTCTCATATATTTAATTATTATGATTAAATATATAGAATGCTTGTCCATTATACAAAATACAGTTTCAATAGAGGATGTGGTTCATATACTATATTTCTGATAGAGGATATAGTCTCCCATTGTGACAAGATGTACGTTTCTATATTCAACGGTTGACTCAACAGTGAATTTTCCGTTGAGACCCTCTATTGAATGATCTGACATTACGTTTTGTAGAGAACAGAAACGCTTTCATTGAGAGGTCACTTTTCAAGATGGCTGACTTAAGTAACGAGAAGGTGGCGATTGTGACTGTTTTGCTAATTAATTAAAGTAACTCACTTAACCATTATTCGAATAAATCCTTTTATTCAAATGAACCCATATCTGTATCATTTTCTTGTATACTGGGTCTTTGTTTAATAATTTTAAGTAATTTCTTGAATATTTATATCATTAGGAAGACTTAGAGGGCCAAATATCTGTTGTAATCAATTTTGGACAAATGAAAAAAATCTTAATATTTCAATATTGACCAAATTATCCAACATAATTGTGCAATCACATGTTTTATAATGTACGGATCGTTCATTAATCTGTCTACTATTACAACATCCACAGCATTATGCCATTAGTGTTTAAACATGATTTCGGGCATATGGGTGTCACGGCTGGCTCGAATGAAGCGCAATTGGAAAGAACAATTTTCAACCACTTTAATGAGCAACTGAGGCCATATATTGGCAATAACATGGCGAATGTTGAGTAACTTACATCCATTAAAAGTCACTGTTTGGTGTGCTTTATGGGAAGGTGGAATCATAGGTCCATATTTCTTTAAAGATGATGCTGGCCAGAATGTTACCATCAATGGAGAGCATTTTTGGAGCCATGATTGCTGACTTCATTCCTCAGTTGAATGGTATTGATGTGGCAGAGCTTTGGTTTCAACAAGATGGCGCAACATGCCACACAGCGCGTGACACCACCAATTTATTGCAGGAAACATTTGATGAGCGCATAATTTTGTGTAATGGACCTGTAAACTGGCCTCCACGATCATGTGATTTCACACCTATGGATTACTTTCTTTGAGGATATGTGAAATCACTAGTCTATGCTGATAAACCACAGACGTTGGACCACTTGGAAGTCAACATTCTCTGTGTTATTGCCGATATATGACCCCAGTTGCTCGATAAAGTGGTTGAAAATTGTTCTTCCTGACTGCACTTCATTCGAGCCAGCCGTGGCGCCCATATGCCCAAAATCATGTTTAAACACTAATGGCATAAAATTAACTTTTAAATAAATCCAACACCATGGCCATTAACATTATTTTTATGTGTTTTATTTCATTTTAAATTTGTATACCTCTAAAAAAACACCCTGTATAGATAGGAATAATTATAAAATTTCAAATACAAATATTTAATAATATTAGTGATGATACAGATTGATTATACAAAAAATGAGAGTGAAAAATAAGAATAAACATGAAGTATACATGTGTGTATATTTGGTTTAGAGGGAAATTGTGATGGTACTTGCAGATGAATTTGCTACACAAAGGTACCAGACAAACAAACCAAAAAACTCCCAAGAAATTTTCAGGATGTGGTCCATCTTGTCACCCTGTGTCAGGCATAGAATTACCGTATATCTCGGCAGATAAGATGAGGTATAAATTTTCGTCAAAGTTTTATAGTTTTAGCACATCTGTCCTATAAGATGATTCCCAAACTATCAATGGCCTATGAATTTAGTTTAGATCAGCAATCATCATCTGAATAATAATACTGTATAGAATATACGGAATTATGCCCTATCTATAATTTTTCAAATTAGCAAATTTTATTTTCTTGAATCTGGCAGCACTGCCTTGCAATTGTTGCAAACATTGGCACTGATTCGGCATTCGGGTAATGACCTTGAGTATTCACAAAAACATCATATGGGCTAGTCTATTTTGTGCACATACCTTACTCTCTTCTAGTAAATAATTACGGTTTGTCTGTCTTTTTATAATGGTTTTAATTTATATAAATTTCTATTTTAATTTAATTTTTTTTTGTATCTGTCCTATAAGACGACCATGGATTTTGGGGGGCCTTTTTTTATGATTCAACTGTCTTCTTATCTGCCAAGATATACTATAATAATCATCCTGCAATCGTGCAATGTTATTTTGTTCCACTCATCCTGTACACATTCCGGTAATTGGTGAATGCTTTCGGGTGGAGCTGCATATTCAGATAAGAGATGTTTATGAAGAGACCAGATGTGTTCATTCAGGTAAAGATCAGTGATTTAAGTGGCCACTCAAGCAGTCTAATACAAGTATTTTGATCCCGAAGCCATGTCATTGCCCTCCTGAGTGTATGTTTTGGATCATTATCCTGCTGATAAATGAAGAGTTCCTATCAATGTAGTAATAATCAACAGATTTTAACAAATAATTATCAAGTTTCTCAGTGTAAATAACACTATTCATTCTATTAGATATAGAACATAGCATTTCAGACCAAAATAGGTAATACAACCCTAGACCATAAGACACTCATCACCAAATTTCAATTTTGCTCAATTATAGACTTCATTAATGTAGTCCTATCCATTTTTGCTCATCTGAACCAACTCTATTAATTTTGCATTCATCTGACCATACAATTTTCTTCCAATCTTCTAAGATTCAGTCTTTATAATATTTGGCAAAATGAAGATGTTTCTGTTTATGTAATTTGATAAGTTTAGGCTTCTCGGGCTTTTAATAAATTGTTATGTTTTAGACATCTGCAGATAGTTGAAGTACTCACTTCTGTTTCTAAGCCATATTTCAATTCCCTCTTTACTTGTGATGATGTATTGTAACGTCTACTTGTTAACAAACATTTCTGTTTTGGCACTCAATGTTTTCTTCCTGCTAGCTTTTAAATTTTTGTGATATAGTAGCTCACTGTTTTTTATTCTGGATATACTTGAATACCCACTACCTACTTCTAATGCTGTTTTCTCAATAGAAAAACTTTTCTTAAGCATGTCCATAATACAGTGTTTCTTCTTACTAAAAAGCTTAATGATGATGTATATCAAGCAGCAGTTCACGTGCATATATATATATGCTAATATTTCATTAATATGCGTGAAGTTACATTGTTTAACATTGCATTGATGTTATAACAAATTAATTTATGCATGAAAATCCTGCCAATGCAACAAGTAGAATTTATACACCATAAACATTTTAAAAATATGGAAATTATTTTAATTTTTTTTTGCCATTATGTAAATATTGTAATAATCTTACAGCTGATCCTTTTAATTTTCAATATCAAAAAGTATTTGTACATAGCATAGAAAAATAGCAAACTTTGGGAGGATTTTGATGCTTACTATATATACAGGAATTAGAGTTGCTGATTTTTGGGGGCTGATTCTCTACCCAAACAACTGAAGTAATTCTGAGTATATTGTTCAAAAAAAAAATGTTTTTTTTAGGTATTATGCAAAATTTTAAGATTTTCTGTAATGCGGTTGCCGAAATATAAGCAATTGAAAAGTGCAAAAATCACCAGAAAAGCTGTATTTTCTTCTCCTCTTCCTCTTTCCAGCACTGCAGGTGCTTGTAGAGAAAAAACTACTGGAACTAGAAAGCTGAATTATCAAATAGTTTTATCAATAAAAATTTGTAATAATTAGTAAATTTTCCAAGTAAAATTTATTTTAAAATTTTATCATAAACCTATAATATGACAAATTGTTAATTTATTTCCTTGAAGATAATTGAATTATTTTTTTTCTTTTCAGTGATTATTTATTCAAACTCCTCCTTATTGGAGATTCTGGAGTTGGAAAGTCATGTTTATTACTACGTTTTGCTGTTAGTGTTTTTTTCTTTATTTATATAAATTTTGAGGAAACTAGTTTAATTATTATTCAAATTTCAGGATGATACTTACACAGAAAGTTACATCAGCACAATTGGAGTGGACTTTGTAAGTTTTATTGAAATTTGTTATAAATATTTTTCCTATAAAAGTTATTTATTTTATATATTATTTTTTTGTTTAGAAAATTAGAACAATAGAACTGGATGGTAAAACGATAAAATTACAGATAGTAAGTAATTTTTTAGATCGTTTATTAATTAATTATAAACAAACATCTCTAAAACTCGATAAATTTGTATTATGCCAAGCAACTACTGGATTTCATTGGGCTATTTATCTGTGTTTAAATTTAATTAATTTCTAAATAAATTGTCCTAGAGGGAGATGTTATGCACCATCTCTTACTAAATTTAATAATTATATTGTGTACAGGCACAATGAAGTGACGTTTTTCTCAACACTGGGCTAGTTGAATCTTTTATTTAGTTAGAACGTTTTTTCCATACATCAACGTTTCGGGCATCAGCCCCTCTTCAGCTAACTAAATATATATAAAAATATTTAACAGGACACAAATAAAAACCAAAAAACTCACATAAATTCTTTGTAAACCATACCTCATTTCAGCATGGACACTGCACATACAGTAGAAATCAGACTACACTTAGGTTTTTTTAACATTTTCAATATCAATTTTTTATCACAATTTTAACTATACAGGTTAAAAACAAAACCTTTTCTACATTTTATTACATAAACAAGATAAACTCTGCAGATTTTAAAAAACTAAAACTTACAAATTTCAAAAGTCTTTTTTTGCCACCTCGTCGACTGATCCGACAATTTGCATATAGCACTATGTGCCGTAAGTTATACTAGTTAACAAATTAATCGACAAACATTTGAAAATCCCTAAGGAAATTACAAAAAAATTTTTAATTTTTTTATACAATAAATCACTATTTCTCTTAAAGTTTACTCTGCATATTTTCTTATTATCTAATTTACATATGACGTTAATACAGAACATTGTTTCATTAAATAATTCTTTTTTACCATTCTATTATTATAAATTGTATTAATCTAGTACATTTCATTATAATATTTTTAACCAATTTTCATGAATTTTAACACTTAAGTTTTTATTTATACAGCCTTGGTTTTTGTTTCGTAATATTTCCACACTTTCTTTAAATTTTCTGTCATAAATCCGTTTTTCTTTATGTAAAATTTGTATATTAGATTGGTTTATATTACAATTATTGATTACACAATGATCATAAAAAGCGGAGTTCAGACGACTATATTTTAAATCGGATATGTGTTCTTTAACACGTGTTTTTAATGTTCTTTTTGTTTCTCCTATGTAAAAACTGTTATTCTTACAAGTACAGGGTATTTTATAGACAACATTTTTAATTTCATTTTTATCCTCTATATTATTTGTTGAACATTGTTTCTTATTTAATCTAGATATTAAATTTTTATAATTTGGTGCGAGCTGTATGTTATTTTTCCTAAGTTCTTTATTAATTTTTTCATATACATGTTTTATATATGGAAAGCTTAAGTATTTAATTTTCTTTTCTGCATCTTTTTTGGAAGGAAAAGGAACTTTATTATCTATGTTTTTTTGCCAATTGTTGATTAATCTTGTAGGATATCCATTCAAACTAAATTTCTTTTTTAGACTGTTTATATATTTCTGTTTTGTCTCTTGTTCACTGGTTCTACTAAGTATATTCGTATATTCCATATAAAAGATATTCTTTTTTATATGTAAAGGGATATTCGAACGGTAATTCAATGTCTTGTTGACTGAACATTGTTTTCTAAAAGGTTCAAGTATTAATTTTCTTTCTCTCCGTTTAATCATCACATCGAGGTATGCTATGCTGTTATCAGTTGTTTCTTTTTCTATAGTAAACTTGATTTCATTATGGATACCATTTATTAATTCTTCTATCTTGTCTGTTGTTATTTCAGCTTCATTATATACTATTAGTATGTCATCAACATACCTTCTATAGAAATTTATGCCTAAAATGTTTTTTATTTTCATGTCAATTTCAATCATTATTAATTCCGCTAATTTCGGTCCTATAACTGACCCCATACTAATGCCATCTTCTTGCGTGTAATATTTATTATTTAATTCTAAATAGTTACTCTTATAGGCAAACTCAATCAAATCTATAATATAAGGTTCTACATTCATTTTGTTTAACTGATTGTTAATCAATTTCCATGTGATTGACGGATACATTTCAACAACATCAATACTAGCTAGCTTAGATGTATTATTTATCTGAACTTTTTTTAATTCTTGTAAAAATCCTTCCATATTTTTAATAGAATAAATTGAGTTTTCATAATCTTTAAGTTTTTCTTTTAAATATTTCTCTAAGTTATACAGTACAGTAAATTTGAAGTCAACAATTGGTCGTACCTTTTCATTTTGTTTATGAGTTTTTAGTTGAATGTTTAGTCTAGGGGTTCTTTCGTTATCTTCAGATAGTATAAATATCTTTTCGTTTTTTGTAACCTCTTTTTGTTTGTGTAGTATATTAATTCGTTTTTTTAATTCTTCATATATTATTTTTCTTGGATTTATCGGTAGTTCTCTGAAATTTTTCTTATTTATGATTTCTAATTTTTTCATTATTATCCAGTCTTTAGTTACAACTACAATTTGTTTTGACTTATCTGCTTTTATTATATTAAGGTTGTTGTCATTTAAGTACTTGTACAATTTTTCTATTTCAGCATTGTATTTGTAATAGTTTTTATCTCTGATTATTGTTCTATCCTTTTGTCTTATAATATGATGTTTTATGATATTACTTAAATTGGTTTTCATTATCTCAGAGTCTACTTCAGTCAATCCTGCACAAGTTTTATCTAAGGTCGGTATTATATCTATTGTTCTCCAATTATTAGGACCATTAAAGTCTAATCCTTTTTGCATGATTTCCAGAATATCTTCAGGGATCGTGTATTTTGTTTTATTTAACACAAGGGACTTTTTCCACTCAGATATTTCTTCGATAGACGGATATTTAAACTTTTCTATTAATTTTATACTTTTAGCCGTTTTGTAATTATCGATACTATTGGTATAAGAGGTTTTAATATCTTCGTTTTCTTGTTGATTTTTTTGTTTTCTATATTTTTGTAGGTTACGCTTCAGTCTTCTGATTCCGTCTATCGAAGAAATATCTGAGTGGAAAAAGTCCCTTGTGTTAAATAAAACAAAATACACGATCCCTGAAGATATTCTGGAAATCATGCAAAAAGGATTAGACTTTAATGGTCCTAATAATTGGAGAACAATAGATATAATACCGACCTTAGATAAAACTTGTGCAGGATTGACTGAAGTAGACTCTGAGATAATGAAAACCAATTTAAGTAATATCATAAAACATCATATTATAAGACAAAAGGATAGAACAATAATCAGAGATAAAAACTATTACAAATACAATGCTGAAATAGAAAAATTGTACAAGTACTTAAATGACAACAACCTTAATATAATAAAAGCAGATAAGTCAAAACAAATTGTAGTTGTAACTAAAGACTGGATAATAATGAAAAAATTAGAAATCATAAATAAGAAAAATTTCAGAGAACTACCGATAAATCCAAGAAAAATAATATATGAAGAATTAAAAAAACGAATTAATATACTACACAAACAAAAAGAGGTTACAAAAAACGAAAAGATATTTATACTATCTGAAGATAACGAAAGAACCCCTAGACTAAACATTCAACTAAAAACTCATAAACAAAATGAAAAGGTACGACCAATTGTTGACTTCAAATTTACTGTACTGTATAACTTAGAGAAATATTTAAAAGAAAAACTTAAAGATTATGAAAACTCAATTTATTCTATTAAAAATATGGAAGGATTTTTACAAGAATTAAAAAAAGTTCAGATAAATAATACATCTAAGCTAGCTAGTATTGATGTTGTTGAAATGTATCCGTCAATCACATGGAAATTGATTAACAATCAGTTAAACAAAATGAATGTAGAACCTTATATTATAGATTTGATTGAGTTTGCCTATAAGAGTAACTATTTAGAATTAAATAATAAATATTACACGCAAGAAGATGGCATTAGTATGGGGTCAGTTATAGGACCGAAATTAGCGGAATTAATAATGATTGAAATTGACATGAAAATAAAAAATATTTTAGGCATAAATTTCTATAGAAGGTATGTTGATGACATACTAATAGTATATAATGAAGCTGAAATAACAACAGACAAGATAGAAGAATTAATAAATGGTATCCATAATGAAATCAAGTTTACTATAGAAAAAGAAACAACTGATAACAGCATAGCATACCTCGATGTGATGATTAAACGGAGAGAAAGAAAATTAATACTTGAACCTTTTAGAAAACAATGTTCAGTCAACAAGACATTGAATTACCGTTCGAATATCCCTTTACATATAAAAAAGAATATCTTTTATATGGAATATACGAATATACTTAGTAGAACCAGTGAACAAGAGACAAAACAGAAATATATAAACAGTCTAAAAAAGAAATTTAGTTTGAATGGATATCCTACAAGATTAATCAACAATTGGCAAAAAAACATAGATAATAAAGTTCCTTTTCCTTCCAAAAAAGATGCAGAAAAGAAAATTAAATACTTAAGCTTTCCATATATAAAACATGTATATGAAAAAATTAATAAAGAACTTAGGAAAAATAACATACAGCTCGCACCAAATTATAAAAATTTAATATCTAGATTAAATAAGAAACAATGTTCAACAAATAATATAGAGGATAAAAATGAAATTAAAAATGTTGTCTATAAAATACCCTGTACTTGTAAGAATAACAGTTTTTACATAGGAGAAACAAAAAGAACATTAAAAACACGTGTTAAAGAACACATATCCGATTTAAAATATAGTCGTCTGAACTCCGCTTTTTATGATCATTGTGTAATCAATAATTGTAATATAAACCAATCTAATATACAAATTTTACATAAAGAAAAACGGATTTATGACAGAAAATTTAAAGAAAGTGTGGAAATATTACGAAACAAAAACCAAGGCTGTATAAATAAAAACTTAAGTGTTAAAATTCATGAAAATTGGTTAAAAATATTATAATGAAATGTACTAGATTAATACAATTTATAATAATAGAATGGTAAAAAAGAATTATTTAATGAAACAATGTTCTGTATTAACGTCATATGTAAATTAGATAATAAGAAAATATGCAGAGTAAACTTTAAGAGAAATAGTGATTTATTGTATAAAAAAATTAAAAATTTTTTTTGTAATTTCCTTAGGGATTTTCAAATGTTTGTCGATTAATTTGTTAACTAGTATAACTTACGGCACATAGTGCTATATGCAAATTGTCGGATCAGTCGACGAGGTGGCAAAAAAAGACTTTTGAAATTTGTAAGTTTTAGTTTTTTAAAATCTGCAGAGTTTATCTTGTTTATGTGATAAAATGTAGAAAAGGTTTTGTTTTTAACCTGTATAGTTAAAATTGTGATAAAAAATTGATATTGAAAATGTTAAAAAAACCTAAGTGTAGTCTGATTTCTACTGTATGTGCAGTGTCCATGCTGAAATGAGGTATGGTTTACAAAGAATTTATGTGAGTTTTTTGGTTTTTATTTGTGTCCTGTTAAATATTTTTATATATATTTAGTTAGCTGAAGAGGGGCTGATGCCCGAAACGTTGATGTATGGAAAAAACGTTCTAACTAAATAAAAGATTCAACTAGCCCAGTGTTGAGAAAAACGTCACTTCATTGTACCTGTACACAATAAGCAAATACAACACGGTTTCGACAACATCAATTAATAATTATAATTAAAATAGCCTGATGGAATCTGGTAGTTGTTTGGTGTTTATTAATTAATAAAACATATATACAAGAATAGTTTATGTTTAAAATGAACAGCTTGGAAGAAAATAAACTGTATGAAAATTGCTAAATTTCAATTGTGAGTTGTTGTAAATATCTGCAATTTCTAAGTAGATAATGATGATTCTTTCTGTTTATAAACAAAACACACATACATATACATACTGGTTGTTTTATTACAGTTTTAAAACCATTATACAACTCCTGACAAAAAGAATTAGATACTTTTTCCTGTAAAAATTGCTGTTGAAAGTGATAAACAAATGTAAATATATACAAAAGCCAAAATTAAATACATTTAGTAAACAACTACTGTTGACATCAACTTTGTTGGTGCATTGGAAAAAACATATATAATTTCTAGCTATTGTCTTATATTCTCTCATTCTGCCTTTTAATACTACTACTACAGTAGAAAGGTTAAGAGTTTAACTAGTTATATTTTAGCAGTTGTATTATAAACAGAGCTAGTTAGTTGAATTAGTTTAAAGACTCATAAGTTGTTTAAGTTAAATGAAGTTAACTAGAGTTTAAACTCATTGAAATATTACATTTCATATGTGAAGAAAGTTAACTCTGATCAAAACTTTCAAACTTTTATTTGAATGAAATGGATGAAATTTAATATTGACTGATATAACAACTTATGATGAAGCATGAGATAATTTTGGATTTATAGTTATATTTAGCTGGTACATAATTTTCCATATTTTGTTAATTGTTTAGAATTTTTTTGGGCATTAAAATTATATTTAGATCCAAACTGCTATCTTATCATTTCCCAACTAAAATTTTATTTGTATAATTCTAAAGATTTGCATAATAAATGGAATTACAACCCACTAATTTAAATGTTTGTCATCTTTATAAATAGAGAATTATTTAGAGTTTATTCCGATAATTATAATCATAGGAATAAACATGAGGAGTGTCTTGTAGACATAAGTGAAAACTTGTTTTTTATGAGCATGTACAGTTTCCAAATCAGCAAAGTATAACAGAACATTGTCAAATGGACCCTTGGTAGTAATTTCCCACTTCACATAGATAAAATAAAAAAATAATATACAGGGAAAATAATATGGTGAAAAGAAGATTAAAAGAACATTTTGCAATTGTTATGCAAGCTAACTCTGTAAATTTAAATACCAGTGTAGTACCAGCAGCATGCTGGGTAAATCTTGTCGGATATAAATAAGTTGTAATTGCAGAGTGGGAAATTACTTGTGGATGTTTGTTGTATTGCATACTTTAATTTACCCTACTGAGGAGGACAGTGTAGCTGGAAAAATGCATTTGGGGGAAGTTTACAATAAAAAAGTGTTTCTCTTTGCTGGAAACTGGTTTGTTTTTTCGACCTTTAATTTTTGATTCTACTTCATTTTTTATTAAATGTTTTACAGTTAAGACGTCAATAATCCTCCACAAGTCAGAGAAAAAAGGAAATTTAAATTTTTGTGTACTTGTTTATAGTACAATTAAGTAAAGATTTCCACAGTTTTGCTATGGAAGTTGCAAGAAAATTATCTTTCTGTCCATCTGTCCTTCATTAATCTTGAGAATGGAATTAAGTAGATGAAACTTTAGACTAAATATGGAAAGCTTAGGGGCTGGAGATGATTGATTTATAATATTCCAGTCCAGACAAGAAGCTTGTCTGGACTGAGTTACATGATTTTAAAATTAAAATAAGATTGTCATAATGCCAGGCTGCAATTTTTAATGTCACAACAATATACATGTAATTTTTTAAGTTTGTGTTATTTTTACAAGTTTATGTCAGCCATGCATTATGCTAATCATATATTTCTGACCATAAAATTGTATTTTAAATTTTTGAATATTTAAACAGATAGAACAAAATTAAATTTGAGATTAATAATAGAAGTAATAAATAAATGATTGAATAGTGTAATTTGGCTGAGAGTAGGCAGTTAGGCTGGTTCATATTGTATATTATTTAAATTTGATAATTATAATTAACTGAATGAATTAATTTAAAGATTCTGAAAGAGAAGATTGCTGTAAGGATAGAACTATAACCCAAAACTTTTTCTTACTGTATAGATGTGTTATCATTTTATGCTACATGATCTCTGTCTGATCTTTTATATTTTATTAGATGATATAATCTTATTGATCAATCACTGTGATGACTGGAGATGCCTTACATTTATGGCCCTCAGTCAACTTCAAGCTTTATCCAGCATGAAATATATATGTTACTGTGAATGACTGATATCTGGTGAATGTCAGCATTCACACAGTCGTTTTGTGTATGTATGAAATATTTGCTAAATATCATTATTTCTCACTTACACCGGCAAATGTCGATATTCAGCATACACTGATGGTGAATGTTGAATATAAATATTTTTATTACGTTAAGACAAAAATGCAACTTTCTAATATGTCAAAATAGGAGAAAGCTTAAGTAAGAGCACATGTAAATAAACTGTTGAACCTAAAATGAACAGTACATTCTATATCATTAAAGAAAATAATACAATAATAAACTTACACATAAATTATGTGATTAATGTTATACAATCTTATTTATTGCAACAACTTAAACTGTTATGGCACTTTGAATTACACAAGAGTCCCTTGCTTTTACAACTACATTTATTCGTGGAACACTTCTTTTTGCAATGACAGCATGTATAGCCTTGCCCTCCATTTTTCGAATTAGCTGCAGTTGCTTCTCTCGGCAATATTTCTTGAGAAGAAATCTCATCTATGGAAAGTAACTTTTTTTTACAAATTATGAACTGATCATGGGTATAAAGCTGCTTGAGGGTACCATTTTTGTTTGCTAATTTATAAAAGTTGGAGTCTTCTATTCCAACAACAACCGCCAACACATTTTCGGCATCTGTATGGCCACGGTCGACATCATGAACTTGTATTTGTATGGTATCACCAATTTGAGCAGAAGGAAACTGCGATGAATCTGTTGACATCGGCTTCTGGGATGTCATTTTGACCTCCTCCAAAGTTTATCTGTGCTTGTCAACATACACTGGCGATTGTTTTGAATGTATAATAATATAACCAAATATTCGGTCTTTCACTGACTTATTTTGTATGTGTTGATATTCACCGGAGAATATCAACATTCTCTAATTTCGGTCTTTCACAGTAACATATATACTTTAAAACCATCCCAAATTAGTTCTTTAGTTGTGTTAATAACTAATTTTACATTATCTTCATCATTAAATGAGCAAACAAAAAGTTGTGTGTTTGGCAGGAAGAAATAAATTCAAACATTAAACTCTTATGCAATCAAAAATACATGGAATTGAAATATGTACTTGTAAAAGATATTGTTATTAGATTTAGTTTAATATTAGTTAATAAGTTTGTGTGAATTTTTTTAAAGTGGGATACTGCAGGTCAAGAAAGGTTCAGAACTATAACATCAAGTTACTACAGAGGAGCACATGGAATAATAGTTGTTTATGATGTTACAGATCAAGTAAGCCATTATATGGAAACATTAACATATACAATGTTTTTAATTTAATAATTTGAATTTATATCCTCTTGTTAGGAATCATTTAATAATGTAAAGCAGTGGCTTCAGGAAATAGAACGTTATGCTTGCGAAGGCGTAAATAAGCTTTTAGTTGGAAACAAAAGTGATCTGACACTCAAAAAAGTGGTGGATTTTGCTTCGGCAAAGGTTGGTTTGTTTTGTTTACTTTAAAAAATATCTACTGTTAGATATTAAATCTATTATTTTTTTTAAGGAATTTGCCGATCAGCTTGGGATACCATTTCTCGAGACAAGTGCTAAGAATGCTACCAATGTAGAAAATGTTTTTATGACAATGGCAGCGGAAATTAAGAACAGGATGGGCCCACTATCCACTAGTGATCTCAGCACAGGAAGTAAAATCAACCCAAATGCCAGTACTCCAATCAAAACACAGGGATCTGGATGCTGTTGAAAAAGCTACAATTAGATATCACATCAATGCTTTTTTTTATTAGTAATTTTGTTTCGGTTTTTTATTCTATAATTTGTAGAAGGAATCCAATAAATGTTGGTTTTTGCCTTCTCATGAACTGAATTCCACAAGGAATAAAAAAATTTCTGATTTTGACTTTACGAACATGAAGTCTGGAAGGATTTTACATGCACTTCTTTCCAGTTATTGAGCAGAAATGATAGATTACATTAGGATTAACAAAAGAATATTTAAAGGATGTGTACTATTTCATCATGTAATTTATGCATCTCAAGAATATTTTGTCATTAGCAGTAAGTATTTATAGTTTAACATTATTTTCTAGTTGTATCAAGACGTCATTGGAGAGATTCAAAGTTCACTATTAAAAAAATTTATTCGTAGTTTTGATATGATTTTTTTCCAGTTTAATTTTTTGGTACAGTTATATATACGATCAGTTCAAATAAAGCAGTAAGTACAGACTAGTCTCTACTATCTACGGATTTATTAATCAAATTGTAAACTGTGTGAGTGAGTCACTCATTATTTCTCATTATGTGACACATTATAAGAAAAAATTCATTTATTCTTGATGTCAATGTAATTTATTGAACATTAGCCAGTCTTTATAGCTTTACCTTGCATTATCCATATGTCATTCGGGATGTACAGAAACAGCTTTTTAATCTTTGTCTGACTATTGATGCAGGCAGTTCAAAAGAAGAAAATTTTAGCGAGTCTGTAAATTATAAAAACCTATAATTTTGAGCTAATAAAATTTTTCAATACCTTAAAGAGCATTTCTTGTTAAATTTCTTTAAATACTTAAGAACATAACCTATCAGATGTGCACTAATCATTCGAGTTAACCACAATGACTGTTGATCAATGCACTTTTAAGTGATGGTAAAATTTTTCTCTTGGTTCCACAAGATCCTTTCAGGTGTTGAAAGTGGAATGCTGGTATCACAAACTTTAGTAATGAATCTTTCTTTACTGACATAGGTAATCCGCTTTCAACTGTCCATGCCTGAAGATGGCCAACTGGAACAAAAATGCTAGCATTCTTTCAACAGTGGGCATTCTTTCAAGAAGTTGAAAGAATGCCCACTGTTAAAGATTCCTTTATTCTATAACTTACCTATATAACTATCATATAACTTCTCTGATTTTGCTGTCTTTAATAAGTTGTCTTATTTCTAAACATACCAACTTGTTCTTCCTGTAATTTATTCTCTTCAAACCTCCATCTTGTGAGTATATTCCTTTCATACCATCTAAAGCACTAGTTTTTTTTCTGTACCTTTTAGGTTTGCAACCTTTACCATTCCTGATTTCTTTTTATATCAGACATCTGTTTAAACATAGTTTTATGCATAATTTAATGAAGTGGCAACTGGAATTAAAAAATATTAATTCATGTTGCTACTTTATCCCATTTTGATAAGGTCTGTCTATATATGCAAAATTGCAGTTAGCCACAATTTTTGGTGGTGATGCTATGTGTTATAAGACCAACTGATCTGCCATAAAGTTACATAAACTCATGGTACACCTGATTAATCTGAAAATATTAAAATCATTTTACCTAATTAATTAATGAGTTTTTCTCTTTAACAATAAACTTTCATATATTTTTTGAATAAATTAGATATACATAAGGGAGGGGTCATTCTATAATATGACCTCTGTGTGGAGGGGATGTGTACAAATTTCATGGCAGACTGTGATAAGGTGGAGGAGTGCTTCTAAAGTAATTGAAAAGAGTTTGGAATGTAGACATTTAAAATAGAAAAATTCTTCATTATAGTGTATGATACAAATCTTTCCTGCTAAAGAAACAGCTACCCAATAAGAAATCTTATAATATCAATTATATTATTGTATGATATAAAATTTACTCCTCTCCTGCATTTGTTATTTTTTAATGTTAAATTATGAGAAATNCGACCATGGATTTTGGGGGGCCTTTTTTTATGATTCAACTGTCTTCTTATCTGCCAAGATATACTATAATAATCATCCTGCAATCGTGCAATGTTATTTTGTTCCACTCATCCTGTACACATTCCGGTAATTGGTGAATGCTTTCGGGTGGAGCTGCATATTCAGATAAGAGATGTTTATGAAGAGACCAGATGTGTTCATTCAGGTAAAGATCAGTGATTTAAGTGGCCACTCAAGCAGTCTAATACAAGTATTTTGATCCCGAAGCCATGTCATTGCCCTCCTGAGTGTATGTTTTGGATCATTATCCTGCTGATAAATGAAGAGTTCCTATCAATGTAGTAATAATCAACAGATTTTAACAAATAATTATCAAGTTTCTCAGTGTAAATAACACTATTCATTCTATTAGATATAGAACATAGCATTTCAGACCAAAATAGGTAATACAACCCTAGACCATAAGACACTCATCACCAAATTTCAATTTTGCTCAATTATAGACTTCATTAATGTAGTCCTATCCATTTTTGCTCATCTGAACCAACTCTATTAATTTTGCATTCATCTGACCATACAATTTTCTTCCAATCTTCTAAGATTCAGTCTTTATAATATTTGGCAAAATGAAGATGTTTCTGTTTATGTAATTTGATAAGTTTAGGCTTCTCGGGCTTTTAATAAATTGTTATGTTTTAGGCATCTGCAGATAGTTGAAGTACTCACTTCTGTTTCTAAGCCATATTTCAATTCCCTCTTTACTTGTGATGATGTATTGTAACGTCTACTTGTTAACAAACATTTCTGTTTTGGCACTCAATGTTTTCTTCCTGCTAGCTTTTAAATTTTTGTGATATAGTAGCTCACTGTTTTTTATTCTGGATATACTTGAATACCCACTACCTACTTCTAATGCTGTTTTCTCAATAGAAAAACTTTTCTTAAGCATGTCCATAATACAGTGTTTCTTCTTACTAAAAAGCTTAATGATGATGTATATCAAGCAGCAGTTCACGTGCATATATATATATGCTAATATTTCATTAATATGCGTGAAGTTACATTGTTTAACATTGCATTGATGTTATAACAAATTAATTTATGCATGAAAATCCTGCCAATGCAACAAGTAGAATTTATACACCATAAACATTTTAAAAATATGGAAATTATTTTAATTTTTTTTTGCCATTATGTAAATATTGTAATAATCTTACAGCTGATCCTTTTAATTTTCAATATCAAAAAGTATTTGTACATAGCATAGAAAAATAGCAAACTTTGGGAGGATTTTGATGCTTACTATATATACAGGAATTAGAGTTGCTGATTTTTGGGGGCTGATTCTCTACCCAAACAACTGAAGTAATTCTGAGTATATTGTTCAAAAAAAAAATGTTTTTTTTAGGTATTATGCAAAATTTTAAGATTTTCTGTAATGCGGTTGCCGAAATATAAGCAATTGAAAAGTGCAAAAATCACCAGAAAAGCTGTATTTTCTTCTCCTCTTCCTCTTTCCAGCACTGCAGGTGCTTGTAGAGAAAAAACTACTGGAACTAGAAAGCTGAATTATCAAATAGTTTTATCAATAAAAATTTGTAATAATTAGTAAATTTTCCAAGTAAAATTTATTTTAAAATTTTATCATAAACCTATAATATGACAAATTGTTAATTTATTTCCTTGAAGATAATTGAATTATTTTTTTTCTTTTCAGTGATTATTTATTCAAACTCCTCCTTATTGGAGATTCTGGAGTTGGAAAGTCATGTTTATTACTACGTTTTGCTGTTAGTGTTTTTTTCTTTATTTATATAAATTTTGAGGAAACTAGTTTAATTATTATTCAAATTTCAGGATGATACTTACACAGAAAGTTACATCAGCACAATTGGAGTGGACTTTGTAAGTTTTATTGAAATTTGTTATAAATATTTTTCCTATAAAAGTTATTTATTTTATATATTATTTTTTTGTTTAGAAAATTAGAACAATAGAACTGGATGGTAAAACGATAAAATTACAGATAGTAAGTAATTTTTTAGATCGTTTATTAATTAATTATAAACAAACATCTCTAAAACTCGATAAATTTGTATTATGCCAAGCAACTACTGGATTTCATTGGGCTATTTATCTGTGTTTAAATTTAATTAATTTCTAAATAAATTGTCCTAGAGGGAGATGTTATGCACCATCTCTTACTAAATTTAATAATTATATTGTGTACAGGCACAATGAAGTGACGTTTTTCTCAACACTGGGCTAGTTGAATCTTTTATTTAGTTAGAACGTTTTTTCCATACATCAACGTTTCGGGCATCAGCCCCTCTTCAGCTAACTAAATATATATAAAAATATTTAACAGGACACAAATAAAAACCAAAAAACTCACATAAATTCTTTGTAAACCATACCTCATTTCAGCATGGACACTGCACATACAGTAGAAATCGGACTACACTTAGGTTTTTTTAACATTTTCATTATCAATTTTTTTATCACAATTTTAACTATACAGGTTAAAAACAAAACTTTTTCTACATTTTATTACATAAACAAGATAAACTCTGCAGATTTTAAAAAACTAAAACTTACAAATTTCAAAAGTCTTTTTTTGCCACCTCGTCGACTGATCCGACAATTTGCATATAGCACTATGTGCCGTAAGTTATACTAGTTAACAAATTAATCGACAAACATTTGAAAATCCCTAAGGAAATTACAAAAAAATTTTTAATTTTTTTATACAATAAATCACTATTTCTCTTAAAGTTTACTCTGCATATTTTCTTATTATCTAATTTACATATGACGTTAATACAGAACATTGTTTCATTAAATA